ATAACGGAAAATCAAGGAAACAATGGAAAAAATACAGTTTTCCTGTAAGCCCAGAGGGTCTTAGGAGCAATTCCGCCTAAACTTCCATGTGTGAATCAAAGCAAGTTCAGCTCCGAAACTATGAATTGGAAAATACTATTGTTTGTATTTGAAAGGCATTGAGGAATAATTTTCAGGTGGAATCACTATTTTAAATGTCACCAAATCTTATTTATAGGTGATTAAACTAAGAAAATAATGAAAAATATTTAGCTTCGCCAAAATTTCTCCCAAAATAAACTCTGCAAAACACCATAAAGCCCATTTGAAACTCTGGATGAACCTCAGACTTTCTAGATCCACATCTTGACTATAAGTCAAGCAAATCTGGTCTGAATAAGTTGAAGCATGTTTGTTCCACAAAGGTTTTAATGGGCAGAGTGCTAGGAGGAAATGGGATTTTGGCTCAATGCTAAAAGTTCAAAAATGCATTTTTCCACTAATAAAAGGGAATCTGATCAGACAAATATGCTGATTTCCATCATAGGAGACCTTCAGCATGAGGCAAAGTCTTTGCTCCTCAGATTTAGTCGTTGATTCATTGAAATTTACCAATAAAATCACCAAACTGAATAGAAAATAAGAATAACTGAGCGGCTAATGCAAAGCATGCCGGTTACATCACCTGAAATGGTCTCACAATGACCTCTGACCCCTCCTTGGAAAGGTCTGAGCCTCTAGTTTCCTATGATGGCGGCCATTAGTGGGCGGGGCTAAAAACGGAACACCTGCTGCTGCATTACTCCTGCAGAATCAAACACATCAGGTGGAATTTTAAATGTAATTTTATTTGTTTACACAGATAAAAAAATCCCTTTGAAACATGTTTTAGGAATTTTAAAGCCCCATTTGAAAAGCATGTTGATCAAACACCAGGTGACTGTTTTGGCCTTTCCTATAAATATATAAACATGAGCTGCTGTCAGCGCGGCCCGCCGGCTTAAAGGGTTAAAATCCTGATTATTGATAAACTTGTCAACTAACCATCAATTAAAAGTCGACAGAATCTAAAACAGGCTTTTATCTGGAAGGATAATAGACAAACAAAATAAACCGAAAACATTTATAAACATAAAATCAATGGAAAACTTCCCATCAAAGAGGAAACGGTTTCTTTTTCATTGTTTTTATTTTGCTGTGTGTACTTAGAAGGTAAAATGAAAGTTTCCTTCAGTTTGGCCTGAGGGTGGAGCTGCTGAGTCATGTTTAATGTTAGGATCAGGTCTGCGTTGTGACCTCTGGTTCCCTCCAGAGCGGGATGATGTAAAGTTCTGGTTGGGTTCTGACGGGTGGTTCTGTTTGTGTTCAGGTTCATAAGCTGCTAATCGTGGTGGAGCTGCTCCTCGGAGAGATTCCCGACCGGCTGCAGTTCAGGCAGCCGTCGCTCAAACGCTCCCTGATGCCGTACTTCCTGCTGACTCAGGGTCAGTGTTTCCATGGTTCCACTGGTTACTCAGATTGTCTCATCAGCCCGGGACCGCAGGGTCCAGAAACACTGGCTTTTCACAATAAAAGCAGATGCTGGTTCAATTTGATTTTAGACTTAAGAACCTGATAAAGGATTTTAATCTTTTCTCAGAGTTTTAAGCCGGGCGTATACTGTATGATTTTTATTATTTTTTTTTCAATTGTTGCACGCAGCTACAGCTCAAACTGTAAGATGAAACCTCAGGGTTTAAAAGTTCTCAGCTTATGTTTGTTCTCACGTTGTGCGACCCGACGCTCTGATGCGATCTACCTGCTCACACTGTACGCCTAAAAACCAGGTGGGACTCAGCGCCACAGTGAGATGGCGCTACTCGGACTCGTCTATCTGGAAGCCAAACGAGTAGAAGAGGAACATGAAGCTAGAGTGAAACGTGCTGCCTTGGAAATGTGTGCAATTTTGTGCTGAAAGCCCTAAAAAGAAAAGAAGACGACGTATTTGGACAAAGACATGGCTGAGCAAACATGGCTGCTATGGTCTGTCAGTTTGACAGAAAGAACTCCATTTCACTCATTGCCCCTGGAAGAAGAAGAAGAAGGATCCTTGTTTTCCCACTGAGCGATTTGCCTACGACCGCCTTATGACGGCCGACTGAATTTCAAATGTTTGATTTTCTCCTGATGTTCCGATTCCTGATGGGGAGTTGGTCGTTAGCGGCCCATCGCCCCTCGTTACCCCCTGGTCACTACGCCACGCACCATCAGGATGAAAGTCGACCCAATTGAAAAATTCTTGCACAATCGTCCCGAAAAGGGCAAAAAATCGTCGAGCGTACGCCCGGCTTAAGATGAGCTGCTGACACTGTTTACATTTGATCACTGCTGCACTTTATGGAATAGAAATGTTCATCTTAAAAGCTCTACCAAACTATATTTCATTTTGTAAACACTGTGGATATAAAAAATGACAGTAAAAGTTGTCCGGGTCTAAGTGTTTGCGCTTCCGTCCCGCAGCGGTGAGGACGGGGAACCTGGCCAAGTTCAATCAGGTCCTGGAGCAGTTCGGAGAAAAGTTCCAGACTGACGGGACGTACACGCTCATCATCCGCCTGCGACACAACGTCATCAAGACCGGTGAGCCGGACGCCGCCTCGGCTGCTCTCAGCCAATCGGAGCTCAGCGTGTGTCTGATCCTCCATGTTTGTTTCCAGGTGTGCGGATGATCAGCCTGTCCTACTCCCGGATCTATCTGTTCGACATCGCTCAGAAGCTGCAGCTCGACAGCCCCGAGGATGCAGAGTTCATCGTCGCCAAGGTAACCAGGTCGTAAGCAATCCCGGGGCTGATATCAGTGGGTGGGGCCTAACGCGAGTTCTGCTGCAGGCGATCCGTGACGGCGTGATCGAGGCCAGCATCAACCACGAGAAGGGCTTCGTCCAATCGAAGGAGACGATGGACATCTATGGAACCAGAGAGCCTCAGCTGGCGTTCCACCAGCGGATCTCCTTCTGCCTGGACATCCACAACATGTCTGTGAAGGTAACAGATCCACGCTCCTCCTTAGTGCCACCTCCTCAGGTGAATGTGGAGAGGAGAAGCCTAAACCACTCTGTGTCTCCCCCTGCAGGCCATGAGGTTTCCTCCTAAAGCGTACAACAAGGACCTGGAATCAGCAGAGGTAACATTAGCTTTACCGTTCAACATTTATTCCTTTTTAAACATCAATATTTGTACTAAAATATTCTTTCTGATTTGTGGACATTAGAATCTAAAGAGAGGTGCCACCTCCTGGTCAGATTCTGGGTTACAACCCATGAAAGAAACCCATAACATGAAAGATCCATCCTCCTCAGATCCCAAGCAGCCAAAACACAAAGTTGAACATTTTATAATTTTATTTAAAAAAGAAAAAAAAGGTATTTTGGAAATAAATGTGACACGTGTAGCATATGACCTCAGAGAGAGTTAATGCCGAAAATGACAAACAAAAGGAAACTAAATATTAACCAGCTTACCTCTTTGAAAGTAAATAAACCAAATGATCAAAACTTCTAACCTATGGAAGTAAATCTGTGTCGGTGGGATTTGAATTAAAAATGCCACTGAAGTTTAAATGTTGTATGTTTGTTCTTACTGTTTCAGTGTTAAAAAATATTCAGAACACATTTTTGACCTAAAAAAAATTGTCATTAATTCTACACAGCTGAAATTTCATTTATTTTCTCTAAAAGCTAAAAATTCACATTACTATTTCAAAGTGATTACATTTTTAATACTTATTTTTCAGTGTTAAAAAAATCTGCATATAAAAAAATTCAACCTTTTTAAAATTCAAACTTAATATTTTCAGCCTCCTGAGATTCAACTGGCTCTATTTCAC